TTTAAAGGGTTAAGGGACAATCAGAAATCCACTAAGAGGGTGATGAAGATAATGAGAGATGACTGGACCGTCCCAGACAAAGGTAAAGAGGGCAAACTGCTGAATCAGAGTTCTAATGGCAAGAAGATTTTACTTTAGGATGAGATGTGTTATGGCATTGACCCACAGAGAGGTCACCATGTGACCTCTCTGTGGGTCAATGCTTGAGGGGTCAGAAATAAACACACCTAATAAAGTTCAATGAAATATGAAGCTGTCCTGATATTTAGATGTGTCTTTGACCAACCTCACATTTCACTCCATTAGATTTCTTACGTCAGCAGACCAGTGACCCCTGTGACCCCGCCGCAGTGTCCTGAGAGGCTCAGCGTGTAAACCACAAAGCACGAGCACCAAGGCCACGTGCTAAACACAGAGGCCACTGTTCAATTTCTTCACTTCTTAAAATATGCTCGAGTGATAACAGCAGAACCACCCATGTGTGTGATCGTATAGTGCAAACACTGCTGCTTTAACATAAACGTGCCCATGGCTACATTGAGACACCCTGGTTGGAGTTTGTAACCTCCTCTGTGTTCAAATACCAACGATATCTTTTCCTTATCTGGCTTCCTGGACAGAAAATAGCACTCTGGTAAATATCAACGCCACCTTCACCCAACAGCTCTTTCCCTGCGTTGATAATTTGGTGGCTTCCATCCAGACCCACACGACGCTCGCCAACATCTCTCGCAGGCGCTGTTGGACCGTCAGCTCCTCTATGACTTTGCTTTGGAGTTTCTGTGCTGTAATTAGCTTCCTGCATGTATTTTCACAACATTTCTAGCTTCATAAAGACAGGCTGTTAGAAACATCCACTAAATCTGTTGTTAAAACACAAACACACACAGACGACATCAGATAAAACCCATCACACCTACGGTAGACTCGTCTCCGCGATCGACATGGAGGGCTTACAGACTCTTTGATCGAGACTTCTCTACATTCATTCTTTCATCATCACAAAACAAGTTTCAAAAATCTAAAGGCGAAAGGCTAACACCTTTTCATCATACCAACTTACATTTTAACAATGCAAGTTAATCCAACGCCCTTTTCACGCCCTTTTCCCAGTCCCCACAGATTCCCATTTTAAAGCGCTCACATGAATAATTTTGTTTGCAGTATGTGCGTCTGTGTGTTACATCCAATATACGGATGCAGTTTGTTCACCAAGCTAGGTAGCATTAGCTGTTAGCTTAGCTATCCACACTCATGCCCAAATATGGTCACTTCTAGCTCCAAGAAATGAAACATAGTAGCTAAAACATTGAAGCCTCAGCAGCAGCAGGGCTTACAGACTCTTTGATCGAGACTTCTCTACATTCTTTCTTTCATCATCACAAAACAAGTTTCAAAAATCTAAAGGCGAAAGGCTACCACCTTTTCCTCATACCAACTTACATTTTAACAATGCAAGTTAATCCAACGCCCTTTTCAGTAAACACCGTCCGCAGCAACCTCACATGACTCACGGTGCTTTCAAAGCCCACACTTTTGTGTGGAGATCAAAGCATTTCAGCCCAGATCGTCTCACCCTGCCTTGTTGATGTCATGTGGTTCAGATCTGACAGTTCACTTTCAGCAAAAGACAAAAAACCCCCCAGAAAGCTTCAATAGTCTCAAAGAACGACTGAAACAAACAGCGGATATCAGGATGATCGTTTCTCTCATCTTTGTCCGTTTTTTCCAGGGATCCCTGTTTGTAATTTCCCACATGTATGGCACAACTCTGATCTGTTTCAAGTCAATGACATTTCAGTAAGTCAGACCTCTTCTATTTGCAAAACATGATGCAACAAGTATGCCACTGATTCATCCTAAAAAACCCACAATTTTCAAGTTGCATGTTTTCTTACGAATGCCGACGCCGTACAGACGGTGGATACTTGTGCAATTTCAAAACTTTGCATCATTTTTCTGTCATTCTGCAAAAACTTATGGGATTACTCCATCATTTACCAACACAGTTATTCACAGCTATCACTATTATCCATATCACTAATTAACCTTTAGAACGTGTGAGGAAGCCGGAGCACCTGCAGAGAACACACAACATTTTTCTGTGGCTCTAATGTTTCTCAAACTCTTCCAGTCAGCTTCACAATCTCATTTATCAAACAAACGTGAGCTGTCCTTTTTAAAGACTCACTCAAACACAAAAGACCCAAAACAGTTCAAAACGTTGCTCCTTACTTTCCATGAAACACCTTCTCCACATACGTCTTCATGAACTGCCTCCTCTCCACTGTCTCGGCGTCGGCCTCCTCCCCGCTGTGAGCCGACGAAGACGACGACCTTCTTAGTTCCCATTCATGAGAGGGCGGGTCCATGTCATTTTCACTGTCTGCCGACTCTGTAGCATCGCTGTCGTTGTTTCCCTCCTCTGACTGGTGGTGGGAGTTGGGCTTGGTTGGAGCCATGGGCTCTGGCAGCTGGTGCACTCCTGTGGAAGAAGCTGGCTCTGGGGAGAAAATGTCTGTGTGTCCTTGGTGTTGACCTCCATCTATGTTGAGAGTCTTGGTCTCTGACGGTAGGTCGAAGTCTATTAGGTTGTCCACTGCCACACCCTCCATGGTGGAAAGCCTCTTCGTTGTGACTGTGCAACAGTGGTGTTAAACAGAGCTATTTACTGCTGTGCAGGAACATGAGAGTGCTGGTCCCAGTTTAGGTTTCCACTGAAGCTGCCGGCCTTGCTAGGTTAGGATTCTGCAGATCATTCCACCCCTGAGGGTGCTGACCCTCACAGAGTGAACTCACAAAGCATCTGTGGACCAATGAAAGAGAGAAATCAGCAATATTAGACCATGTTAAAATAGACCGTGTGAACATAATAATTTTAAAAACACGCTTGACCTGCAATCCAAACAAATATCACGTGGTTTGATCATGTTAAACACCACTAACAAAGGAATATATTTGGCCAAACGGTGCAGTTCCTGTTACGTCCACTTGAGGCTTTCTTTGAAAGTGAGCCAGTCCCCACAGATTCCCATTTTAAAGCGTTCACATGAATAATTTTGTTTGCAGTATGTGCGTCTGTGTGTTACATCCAATATACGGATGCAGTTTGTTCACCAAGCTAGGTAGCATTAGCTGTTAGCTTAGCTATCCACACTCATGCCCAAATATGGTCACTTCTAGCTCCAAGAAATGAAACATAGTAGCTAAAAAAAAAAAACTTTTTTTTTTTGTTTTTTTTTTACAAATGTTCTCAGTAATATAATTTCAGACCAGGTACAAATTCAGAGCATTTACGTGAAATTGATCCGTATACAGACATCGGCATTACTCATTCTGAAGCTTTACTAATAACCTTTCAGTTACTGATTTATGAATTTCCAGCCACTCCTATTGCAGATCACTTCAAGTTCAGTTCATTTAATGTGATTATTGAGTCCACTACATTGTCTCCTAATGGAGATTTTCCTTGTTGATGAATCTAAAAGATTCAGTTCAATATTTATTAAAAAGCAACATCATGATGATTTGAAACATTATATTTAAACCTGGTTTAGCTATAAAGCCTTGAACTAACATTTCCCCCCCCGAGTTTGTCCTTAAAGCAGCATTTCTGCAGGACTTGGTGCAGTTTTGCAAGAGTGGTTGGGTGGAGGTGCTGCCTTAAAGGCCAAAGTCAGAGAGTAAAGTAAACAAACACCTCAAATTACAAGAACGACTGCAACCCTTACTTTGCGACGGTCAGTCTAAGAATCCTTTTCTGCTATGAAAAAGTGAAAACATCCGTAATGAAGAGAAAAGAGGGTATTACAGGCCGTGTAGCTGTAAATGTAAATTTAACAGCCAATAACAAATTGTTATGTAAATAAATCTATACAAGTTTACTTCTTTCTAAATTTGAGATGATAAAACAAAACCGGTGTGATGTCTGACTCAACACCAGGCCTATAAAACGTGTCTACGTGACACGGCACTTCTTATTTAAATGCTTAAGGTGTGAAAGTGAATATAATTTCCTGTTGTTTCTGATCGCAGACATTCTGCAGACAGAGTTAGCTGAGCAGAGCAAAGTATGCTTTGTGGTCTGACATAAAAAAACCCACAAACCTCCTGATAGGACGCACTTGTCCTGACTCTGATGCTTAAAGAAGATCTTTGTATCTCAGAAAGCTGATCCTTACCTGGATGCATCAAAACAGATCTACTGATCACTTCTCAGAGGGAAAAAAGAGCACGAAAGAAAACGAGCAGCATGTTGTAGCTCCACACTGTCATTTCGATCCTGTTCAGTTGTCCTTGCTTTGAAATCTCACACCCGTTCATCTCTAAACCTCAATGTTGTATTTTTAGAATCTATCCTTTCATCATGTTACAGTGCAAATAACAGCAAGTTGAAATGATTGATTAAAAACCACAAAGAAAAAGGCAAACAAATCTTAAACTGTACTGCTATACATCTCCTGACACACACACCTTTCATCTGGTTTGAAATAAATGCCCAGTCATGGGACAAACCGCCTTCCCAGGATTCTTCACCCAGCAACAGCTGGCATCCTTCACACACACGCGCACACACACACACAATTTCAAAACTTTGCATCATTTTTCTGTCATTC